CGGCATGGTTCATGAGGAAATGGCACAGGCAGGAGGCGGAAGCGTTCGCGAAGCGCCAGCGCGCGAGGGAAGCAGAAGAAGAGAGTACGGCCTCAGGACCGAAGAGAAAGAAAACCGGGGAAGCGGCGGTGGGGGGGAAGAAACGGCGACCGGGCACTGCTGTAGAAGCGAGTAGGGCGGCGGAGGCAGCACTTGTGGCGAACCATGTACCCGGCTGNTCCCTGCCTACTCTGCTGTGTTGGGTACCGTGATCTCGCTCTTGCTGTTGCCTTTGTTTTTGTACGTCTGGCTGTCTGCCCATCTTCCGCCTCTTTGTCCTGTTTGCTCCGTTACTCCCATGCCTGGTGCGTAGTGTGTGGTGCTGGTACGTTACCCTTTGATTTTTTCTTTGGGCGGGTGTGGGGAGCGTCCTCCTTTATTTTTATTTTTTATTTTTTATCGGTTTCCGAGGGCTCTTTTCTCGAACGGTCGGTGCGATACCTGTTNACCTTCGGCCTCTGTGCTGTGTTTCTGTGTTTCTTTTTTTCATGACCTCCCTGCCTACTCTGCTGTGTTGGGTACCGTGATCTCGCTCTTGCTGTTGCCTTTGTTTTTGTACGTCTGGCTGTCTGCCCATCTTCCGCCTCTTTGTCCTGTTTGCTCCGTTACTCCCATGCCTGGTGCGTAGTGTGTGGTGCTGGTACGTTACCCTTTGATTTTTTCTTTGGGCGGGTGTGGGGAGCGTCCTCCTTTATTTTTATTTTTTATTTTTTATCGGTTTCCGAGGGCTCTTTTCTCGAACGGTCGGTGCGATACCTGTTGTTTTCTTCTATCGTTTTTTCTTGTTCCGAGTGGTTTTTACCCTATTTTTGTTTTGTTTCCCCGCGGCGTCGTATGTGCCGGGTTTTGAGACTACGGGCTCCCCATTTTTGTGGACTATAGAGCTAATGTGAGAAACAACAACAACAACAACAACAACAACAACAACGTACTAAGCTATGAGAACGGTTGACGCCTTCCACGTATAGAGGTGCACATCTACAGAACACGGACGGCAGGCGTATTCAGGTAGTAGGTTGTGCGTGGTGTCATGTTCCATTTTTGTTTGTTGTCATTATGCATATCACAAGGAATGAAAGTCGACACATACATGGCTCGCGAACGAACGTCAACTATCGTTTCTTCCTTATACATAGTCAGCAGTCCTGCATACGTCACAATCTGTGCATATGAATATCAGTGTAGCTGATGTCGCCGTTGTTTGGGGTGTCGACGTGTCTACTATGTTATCACGCTCGCGGGCTCTTGTCGAGAGCGTGTTGCACAGAGGAGTGACTCAAGCTCCTTGATTAACGATTAACGAGTGAGAGACATGGGCAGACAAGCAGAGCTTACGTACGCGTCAAGTCCATCACACCCGTCATGTACCACATCAATCTGCGTTACTCCCGGAGGTCTCGGAGATTTATCCTGCCGAGTACTCACTCAAACAGCCGGTCGTTATGTTTTTTGCCTAAATTGTCTGATAGCATACGGTGGGTCCGAGGGACGAAAGTGAGTGTGTTCTCGATAGTGACTAAATTCGCGTCTTCTCTCCGCGCTCTTCTTACGAGATTGTGTACCTCCCTCTCTCGCCTTTCGCCGGTGGGGTCTCCAACAACGCGAACCGCGAGTGTTTTATGTCTTGCTGAATAACTAGACCATCCGTGCACCCGGCTGCTTCATGTAAGACAATGAATAGGCGCTGCCAGGTATTGGGCATGTCCATTGATGTTTGCGCTGCGGTGCCTTTGGCAGCTTCCGGGGATTCAGAGCGGCGTAGCTTGATGTGCTGCCTCGTAGGGTCGACGGCATGCACGCGAAAAACAGATCGAAGCCACTTGAAGGATGAATTCGCCGGGGTGGCCAACTCCTCAACACTCTTTGGGCGCCTACGATGAGCTGATGTACATATGATACGTATGATATGGACAGTTAGTCTATACATTTGTGTTGGCTGGTCGTTGGCAGCGGAGGGTGTTCGGGTGTTCTTTTTCCTTCTGTTATCAGGCGGCTGTTCGACTTTGAGAGTCTTTCATGTTCTTTGAAGCAGCTGTGACATTCTATTCTCATTTCTAGCACAGCGGGTAAAACAGCGAAGAACACCTTTCTTGGTAACCGGTCTCCGCATTCCATGTGGCCGGGAGCTCTTCGACAGACCGCAAGCGCCATTCCGACTCAAGATCCGCCTGCTCCAGGCGGAGGCGATGGAGGCACTGCTGTACGGCTGCATGACATGGTCACCACTCAGCGGCCACTATCAGACGCTGCGGTCGATACACCACCGACTGCTCCTTCGAGTTATCGGGTACAAGCGCAAGAAAGACACCTACCGGCAGCTCTCTTACGCTCAGACGCTAAAGAGGGTCGAATGTCAGAGCGTTGAAGCCACGATCCGACAACGACGCCTACTGTTCGCGGGAGCAATGGCAAGGCAGCCGGACGGGCGACTCCCGAAACGACTGATGTTCGGCGAACTGGCAGGGGAGAGAAGCGACGTAGGGGGGGACAGTAACAGAACTAGCCGAAGTGTGTGCTTGACGACCTGAAGGCATTCGGGGCCGACCACGGATCTACGAAAGCTGATCCGTGTTGTTTCGGAATCCCGGTACCGAAATTCACGGCATCGACGATAAAGTGGACGGAAGCCGCGAAGGTAGAGGGGGGAGTACCCTGGCATGCGGCGGTGCTGCAGGGAGCTGAGAGGTTCATGACATCCTGGCACGAGAAGGAAGAAGAGGCCAGCCGACAACGGGCGCTCAAACGAAACGACAAGCCACCAACCAATGGGGCGGGAGGGGGGCAGGAGACGGACGAGACGGCGAGGGAAAAAAGCAAACGAGAAGAGACGGACCGAGTGGCGCGATACGTACCGGATTGGATTTCTTTTAGCCATTTCCCCCCCCCCCCAACGCTGCACTATTGCACCAACCCCCCACTAGTAGTCATGACGTACCATTACAAGGTATCGCTGGTTGGTGGCCATGTTTGCGTGTTTGGTTGTCGTTAGTGGTCTCTCCACCGTGTGCCTTTTTCTGTATGTCATTTCTTGTTATTTTCGGCCTGGTCCTTTTTGTCCTCGCTCTTTTTTTTTCATTTTCTTCTCTTTTTCTCTTGTTCTCTTCTCTCTCTTTTTCTGTGCCAGATGGCCTTGTTTCTGCTTGCGTTGTGAAGTACCAAGATTGAATCAAGGGGGTGTACCTCATTCTCCCCGGCCCGTGATGGTGACTCCTAGTCTCAGTTGTTACCTCGCATAGCGCGCAGAGGGAGTGGAGGACTCCAGAATATCTGACGTTGATATATTATGTTGACTTGCGGACCCCTCGGGGCCATTATATCTGAGTGTACCTTTTTATGGTAAGTTAGCCTGCGACCACGGGAATCGACCGCGTCGAGTGTTGTATCAGTACGAACATACGAAGGTACTGGGTAGAGAGAGATCGGAACGGTTTTTAATGTGAAGACAACAACAACAATTCCAGCATTTCAAAATGAATAGTCTAAAACGCAGACGTCTGTACTCCGTGGTTGCGCACACGCTTGAGGAACACAACAAACACGCCCGCCCGCGAGAAAGGTCTGAACCGCTTAGTAAAGCGGTACATTCAAGTAATGTAGCAATCCAAGGGGTGGGACGACGTTGTGGCTCGAAGCGCGGCTGATTGATTGTGCGAGGTCAGCTGTCCGTCGGTCGGTCCCATTTGCTCTCTCTTCAACTCAGAACAACACCCCCCGCCTGTTTGTTGGTTTTCTCTTTTCTACTGCTGCTGTCATCGACTCCCACGTTTTTTGTGCCACTGTGCTGCTGCTGCTGCTGTTATATTCTGCTGCTCGGGTCTTGGCTGCTCATATTGCATTAGTCTATATCACCTCTTCCCTGGCTTTCACACTTGGTGAGGCACAGGCAAACAACCGCTGTGTTACATGCATACGCTGTATATGACTAACAGGCACCCACGAGCCGCTGAAGCACATCTTGCATAAAGTCTGAACGTTGGACCTTACACAGAACGACGTTGTATGAACGTAGAACATTTTTGTCTCTCACTTCCCGAAAATGCCATTTTTATTATTGTGTCGCCGCGCAAAGGCCGGGTCTTGGAGGTGGAACTCTCCCCCTCCCTCCCGGCCCTTGAGCCTACTAAAGAATCCATAATAAGAACCAGGCTGACCACATTCCGCTGGTCGCCCAGCTTGGACACAAACCTCAAACCTCCATGCCTTTCCATGCTCGGCTCAAGCCTTCGCTTTCACCCGAGCACGCTTACCTCGGCTTACCGGCCAATCCATGTCCTGCTCTTTTAGCCAGCGACACGCTTACCTTTACCATACTCCTCTCAATATCCAGCCTTTCCATGCCCTGCTCAAGCCTAAAACATGCTTCTTCGACCTCTGGTCTTCCATGTCCCGCTCTCGCCAACAACATGCTTACCTCGGCTTAACCGGTCGTTCCGTGCCCTGCTGCTCAGCAGCCAGATACACGCTTACCTTGACCCTACTTGTACACCATCATGTGCCTTTCCATGCCCTGCTTCAGCCTAGAACACGCTAATGTCTAGCTTCCGCCCGAGACACGCTTACCTCGGCTTCCAAAAAAAAAAAAAAAAAACGAACCAACGATGCTGCTCTTGCTCTCGTTCTCTGTCTGTCTCCTCCCTTTCGTATACTCGCTTCCTTCTTCTTCCTCCTCTGTCTCTCTTCTACTCCTCCTCTTGTTTGCTTGTTGTCTTGCTCTTTCGTTCAGATGTCTCTTGTGTTGTGAGCAAGTTGCATGTCT